GCCTAATGCTGTGAGGTGGAGAATGCACATGACTGTTGGAGGAGCTGAGGATGCTCAGTACCTCCAGGAGCTGGCCGTCAGCTGCACATCTTTTGCTCAGCCCAGCGGATTCCATTGTTCTCAAGATAAGAATTGTTTTTCACCAGAAACAAACTATCAAATGTTGAGGGTGTGGTTGTTAAACCAGCTTTCAGTTACAACTGACATTTGTGAGTCTAGTGCTGGAGGAGGCCATGTTGCTGAAAAATGATATTGTTTGTGATGTCAACAGTATGATAATTGTCAGCTCAATAGAAGAGTATGTGGATCCATTTCCAACCTGTTTTAATAATAGTGTAACAACAAAAATGCTTTCTCCAATGGTTAAAGGCTAGAAGCTTGTTTACAGGCTTTTCCACTGGGTTTGCCTATTGTCAGTGCCACGAATGGCATCAATTTTCAGCAAGACAACTGCCTCCAGCACTAGGATCGGAAACGCCAATTGTAATTAAAACTTTTTTTTAAGCAAATACGCCTCACAGTTTAATTATGGCAAGAAATGATTCTTGTTTTGTGAGCTCCCGGACTGTTAGTCTGAGCAAAAGTCCATTGGCATTCGGTATAGAAGTCCTGTCCTTGCTACCACACACTCCCCACTGGAAATTTACTCTTAAATAAAATCTGAACAAATTTACCGCACCCAGGTTAAATGTGCCGTAAACACTGATTATTTCTTGTGACCCATATTTAATCCTAACTATGGGCTATGTCTATTTTCCTCTCTGGTATTTTTACGTAATCACAGTGTGAGTCACACTGCCTATCAAATGTGCAGAGATAAGCTACAGTCATTTCAGGTGCTTCTAAACAATGACAACGAAAAATAATCTCACAATAGCTAAATGTTTTCTATTTTCCAAAAGCTCTTATTGGTAACCTTCCTTTCTGCAATGCAGTTTTTGCAATCACATAGCAACACAGCCCTTGAAATAACTTTTTTGATACTCTAAGTATAAAATATGGAGTTTGGAGAAACCTATTCCACGCAAATGCTACCTGTTTAAATGCTAAATGGCATCAAAAGTGAAAATAAAAAAGAGTGATGGCTCAGTCGAGGAATCCATTACGTGTCTGGATGCTCGAGGTCCCCTCTTCAGTCAGTCCCTTCTCTTGAGTTTCAACAAAAATGACAGGCAAGTGGGTGTAGTGAAGTTAACTTGGCACAATAGATGTCCTTCTCCTAGCTTAGCCCCCACAATCCTTTACAAGAGTCAAGTTTGCTAAGAACTTTAGGCCCTATTCTGTTCTTTTGCACAGACATGCCCGTATCCTCATCTGACTGTGTACTGAGTATTGCCATTTCAGCTTTCATAATGTGCATTTGTGAATCAGCTTCTAGCATGGGCTTTCTTTAGAGATGGGTGAACCTGACTTGGTTCAGAAAAGAGATAGCAGTGAAGTAAAACCCATACATGAACACCCTTGAACTTTGGGGAATTTTAGATCCTCAGCTGATCTCTATGGGTTGGGTCATATCTTGTTCAACAAAGCATACAAGACTTTGAGAACTTACCAAAACCCATCTGAACTTTCTAATTCTCTTTTCCTTTACCTCCTTGAGCCTCCAATAATAACCCTAACTCTCTCATCTAACCACCCTCCAACAGGTCCCTGTTCCCTCCTCCTTTCTTATGACCATCCAGTAAAATCTAGCTTCCATCCTCCTGATGCACAAGCCTTCTCTCTTTGCAGTCCTCTGCTGGGCCACTTGAATTCCTCCTAGCTCACAACACTCCAATAGTGCCCCTCTGCCTTTAGAAATAAGTTGCAGGACTGTCAACTGACCTGCCAGGTGCACCTAGCAGTCAATTAAAGTTCCTTATGCTTTGAGACTTTGCACCATTGTGTAGGATTCATGCCTCACAGTGCAAATAGTTTGAAATGACTAGCATCCAGATGCCTGAAGACATGGTGCCAAAGCTGCTGGGTCCTGCAATAGGATCATCAAAGGTAGGGGAACTTTATTGTCCATACATGGAATGGAGAGGAAGGAGTTTTGTAGCTGGAGCATATTGTTATGTTCGGAAGGGGAAAGTAGAACTTGCTCAAGTCACAGCATTTGGATCCAGATCCAACTTTCTTGAAATTCAGGGGTAGTCAGCTCCAGGGTTTAGTTTGGGCCCATCTCTAGAGCAAATAAGACTCAGCTGGAGGGTCCTGGGCAGGGATGTAGCCAGGCAGTTTCTGGAGGTTGTGGGAGGGAGGTAGATGAATGCAGTAGGAGCCAGAGAGAAGCAAGAAAGTGGTGTTCGAGAAGTTCTCATATTTCTGGAATGGGCAGAGGTTTTACTCTTCCCAGACTGGCTTGCCTCTCTGAGACTTGTGCATTTACAATCCAGTTCAAATACGGAAAAGGGAGATCTTTTACTTTTCTTCTTCTATGGGCTGTGTACAATTCTCTGTGCGTATTTTACATAACTGCTTAATCTACAGCCAAGTCAAAGCCTCACTGAGAGAGGCAATATAAGGAAATTCCCAGAAGAACCTGCAATCACAAACTAAAAGGGTAACATAGTAAAGATGGTCCTTGTTAAGTTATGTCTCCTTGGAGGACATTTCATAATGATTGTCTGAAAATTGTAAGCTCTTCAGTGACATTGTCTTATTATGCATTTGTACAGCACATTGCATGGAGTGGCTGCAATCTTCACTGAGACCATTGAGAAGTTCCCGTATATAAATAATAAATTATTATCCCATGAGATTTCTTGCAATATTTCACAAGAAGCCATGTTGCCCTTTTGTAATCTCCATGCAATGTATCAGCAGGCTGTGTAATGTAGTCAGCAGTCCCTTCCCTGACTACTTAATCCAGGCCAGGATTTAAGACCCTGTGTGGTGACAATAGGTAGCACAGTCTGTCTTTAATTGGTTTTGGCGCTGAAGAGCCAGAGAGAAATCTAGAGTGCTGTCAGGGTCCAATGGCCACAGTTAAGAGCCCCTCTTCTAAACATTACAACAGATGAATAGGGATATCACAAGATGCTGGTGGTTATCTCCCAAAAACAATGCTGTTCACCAGTGTTCCCACTGTATAGTAAGATGAATTGTAATAAGTCAAATATATGTACAGCCCTCACTGATCGTAATGAAAAAATCCATGCGTAGGGTTATTATAATAACCAGGCCGAGTATGTTATTAAATTAATAATAATATTCAGATGCCATCTTCCATCCATTTCAGTGGCATATGATGTCGAGTGTGTTGTGCTTACAATAATTTTAGGAATTCATTTTTTTCCAAGTTCAGGAAGCTAACAACATGAGCTTTTTGCTTTGCACGTCATAACCTTTTATGTTATCGCTTGGTGAGATGAGGTGAAGACCCAGAGGCCCATAAATGGGAGACCGGAGGCCTGTGATTATGTTTGCACTGACCCAGTCATATCCAGCTTTACAGCATGCAGCACTTCTCACAAAACAACTGCACTCTGGGATAAGAGACACAGTGTCGCTTGTTCACTTGAGTCAGGTTAAATCTCTCTGGACTAGTGTAATCCAGAATGGGCATATTGAATTCAGTGATGCTACAGTGATTTACACCAGCTGAGGTCTTCAGTTGCTTTCCATTTATTACCTTCCAGTCTTGCCCTGCAGATCAAAAGAACATGGACACAGGTTCTTCTTTGGGCTAGGGCTGCTTTACACTGCACCAGTGTTGCAAAGTGGCCCTAAAGCCAATGTAACCAGCCACAGGAGGCTCCAGTCTGCTTAAGGGGATCTTCCAGTGGCATAAAGCTATTTAATGAGTTCTGAGCTATACCCCTCCTGCAGCCAACAGAAGGGTCAAGACCTGAGTAGCCTGGGACTTCCTGATCCCCAGGTGCCATGAGAGTCCCTTGGAGCTAATGGCTGCTGGTATAATGTAGAGCAGCCTACAGATGGCTGTAATTTACACCAGGAGTAGGGTGACCAGACAGCAAGTGTGAAAAATCAGGACCGGGGGTGGGGGGTAATAGGAGCCTATATAAGAAAAAGACCCAAAAATCGGGACTGTCCCTATAAAATCGGGACATCTGGTCACCCTAACCAGGAGACTGGCCTACCACGCAGCTGTCCCAGGACCAGGTGAGCACAAAAATGTCTGAGGGCCAGCATTGCACGTGCATGCACACACACACACACACACACACACACATCCCTTCCCAAGTCATGCTATGTGCTTCGGTCATGGGTCAGCGCTGTGATCTCATGTCACTGCAACATTGTATTGCATAAAACTGACATAACATGACACTGTCAACTCATGATGCAGATGAGATTTTTCTTATCACAGTTCCATCTGGGTTTGTTTTGTTTTTTAGTCTGGCAGCATGCTGGACTAAGCCATCACTTTTGGGAACTGTCCTGAAGAAGTCATGAATTGGGGCTATCCTCTACTCCTTCACCCCGCAGTGCAAATTGCAACATGCAGTGACTTTATAATGGGGTGAGGATATCAATTCAGTATAATTTAACTCAGGAAGCAGATTTAAACTGCTTGCTTTTTGAAATTATTCAAGGAAAATACGTTTATGAAGGCGCACCAGGAGGTGCAGAATTGGGCCCTTTACATCTTTATCTTTGAAGACATGGCATCCCTACTAGCCTACAACAGAATGAAGATTCGCAGCATTAATGTATAATAACCATATCTCACTCTATTACAGGTAGTTCGAGGCCATTCTGCATAAACAGTATGCATTGCTTTGTGTCTTAATCTTTAAAAACCCCAAATGTCTTGGTTGCAGACATATGTTAAGGTTTAATGCATCTCCTGCCATAAAAGTGTTGCTCAAAACTAATGAACAAATGAATGTTTGTTTAATCCCCTTTGTGAAAATCAAACAAGCTTTCAACAGCTATTCATATATTTATTGTCAGATGTGAATCATCACTTAGGTGTTCTGCCCTGTGCCATTAGCAGTTAATGCTCATAGTTTCACAGCATTAATCCACCTGTTTTTTCTTTTTTCCCCCAGTACCAGCTACAGAAAGGATCAGTGTGGAGAATCCTGTTTTGTCACTGGCAGAATTGGCTCTTCTTCTGCTTGGTCCTGGCAGTAATGACTATCATTCCCCTTGCAGTCTATCGAATGATGGTAGCTTTTAAGGACCCTCCACCCAGTGCTGTATTCCATGCAGCAGCTGTGTGCTTTGGAGTTCTCGCAGAGACTCTTCTGATAAAGTGAGTACAGTCCCTTCCCCCTTCTCTCCTTCCCTCCCTTGCAAAAAAGTAGGGGGAGCGGGTGTTAGATTCAGCAGCACCTGAAAAGTTCCCAATAGATTTACCCCTTATGTTAAATAACAAGTTTTAGAAGCGACAAATTGTTACTCTAGCATTGCTGGGTGTCATTAAGGTTGCATGTCTATGCTTGTTTAATTTTAATTCTGCCGTTAAGCAAACTAAATGCTTTTTTTCTGTCTCAGTGGGGTCCACCCAGAATAGAGAATGAATACGTGTTTCAAGGTTGTGTAACTGAGGGGTTTTTTTTTGTTTGTTTGTTTCATTATGAGGAAGGGATTACAAATTCCTCTTAGTCAGTACTTAAAATATCAAAGTCATTGTTTAATGCCTTTGAGTCATGGTACAACTAATTCAATTGCATAGGGTAATGCAGTTTCTTGGTATGTAAAACAGAGATAGTACAGAGAAGTGATTGTAAAGTTGAATAAACACAAACTTAGTTTCAAAGTCTGAAACTTTCTGATGGATGCTTTTATAATGATCCACCACAGCAGCTCTTCAGCAGGGATAGAACCCGGACCTTTAGTTCCACCTCCACCACCTAAGCTAAGGGAGTAACACTATTAGCTGTTAGCAGTAGTAGACTTTTATCCCTTATGTGGTACAGCATGAAACATCTAGCTGTCCAGGGAACTCACCCTGAGTATCTGAGGCCCACAGGAATTTAAATCCTGATATTGGCCACCTCTTTGAAATGACCCATCAGCAGCCACGGGCCTAAACCAGAACTTCACATCTCACCTTCCGTACCTCCGTCCACCTTCCCAATGCACGCACTGACAAACACAAAGTTTGGATCCATATTTTTGTCCATATCTGGTTCTGAACTTTGTAACATAGGCTAAACCAGAACATTGAATCCAAACATTAACCCACCCAAAATTCATGTTCAGTGCCAGACCCAAAATTTGTGAGTCAGGTACACCTATAATTTAAAAACCATGCTGTGGCAGAAAATGCATATGATCATGAATTCCTGCTTGGATTTAACTTTTCCCCCAAATTAAAACAAGCACACTAACACAATTATCTTGAAGCCACAATGGTCGTCATTAAAATGTTGACATTTAATGTTTGAAACTAATTAGCATTACCATGGAATTACAGGTATATTAAGTGTCCTAACAATAATTACCTTCAAATGGTAATTCTGATTTTAATGGCAACCACCATATTGTAGGTGATTGCAGTCTGAGGGTGAAGGAGAGAGAATAGGAAGGAAATTAGTCTTTAATGAAGCATCTGAACAAGCATATATATATGAGAGGAAAAGCCGCACAAAAATAGAAAAGGCTAACTATACGCAAGTGCTCGTGAAAGTTTCTGGTGAGATAAAAGCTTTAGAAACAAATGTGAGTTTAAAAGTGCATTTGAAAAGGTATGTACTCACATTGTGCAGCACAACAACAGTAGAATGCTAATAACATTTAATTTCCCTTGACTTCTAACCTTCTTAACCTGCTGTAATGCTAGAATGGTGCTGTAAATCAAAATGTGCTGTATTGTATGGTGAACATGTGTATTGAATCATTCCAGACTGCCTGGTGCTTTTTAAAAACAAAACTCACAATAGTGTTTGTGCTGTTTTTTCATTTTTCATAGACCTTTCCTCTCAATCATTTTGCAACTGGTTAGCTGATGTGTTCAAAATACAATATAAAAAAAAGAGGAGGGGGAATTAGGAGGTAGAAAAACCACAGCAGAAACTACAGCACAGATGAGTAGGCCAAAGTATCCTTGACATTATTTTCCCCCTTGTTATAAGTGTTATTCCATTTTCAAGAAAAACAAATTGGAATATTGCCTGGGGTCTACTGAATCATTAGTAAATTAAGAATCTGTTTTTAATAACATTTAACTTGTAAATAATGCATTAATTGATTAGCTTGAAAGTTAGCTTGAATGTTAGAAACTCTGGCACTAAATGCGTAATGGAAGAAGTGTTCTGTTGGAGGAGGCTGTATGGTAAATGTAACAAATTAAATATGACAGTTGATATTTGTGAAAATGGTGATATAATTAGAGGACACCTGCAGCTGTTTTCCAACCAAAACAACAGAAATTAAACATGTATAAAGGATGTGTGCCACATTTTCTCTTGGCATATTTCTTTTGTTCTCTTTAGGGTTTTTGTTAGGAGTTGTTTTTTGTGTTTTTTTTTTAATTTCCCCTACCTTTTGTCAGATCATATGTCTAAACAAGCAACAAGTATCTTTGTCTGATACTATGGTTTATTGGCTCTATGTGATACATCCATCAGACTAAAGGAAAAGAACAAGAATCTTATTTGCTAAGAGTTTGAATTTACTAAAGAACATGATGCATACCCAAGCATATTTATAAGTATGTAAGCCTAGATATGGTCAAGCATTCCTACCTGTAGAGTTCTTACCTGTGGGATTATCCACTGTGTATTTATTTCCCCTTTGTTGTCAAGGAGGATTTTTTTAAAGTGTGACAACATAATATTGAACAACCATGCGTAAGTATTTTAAATGTAAATGTGTAGTTTGCACTGTATGTGTGTGAGAGAGAATTTGATGTTGTTTTCTACATTTCATGAGGATCTGAGTCCACATTTCCAAAGATGAAAGCAGAGCATTAACTCCCTGAACCAACCCCAGCTCACATTACTGTTAAAGGAGTGGGAAATTTTCTTGCATATTCATTGCCGATGGTCCCAAAACATAAAATTAGGATCTGGATACAAAGTTTTTCAAAGTTCAGGAAGTATTTGGATCCAGGGATTTTTTTCATCTCAAATATTCACTCTTCAGTGTGCAAGAGTAAGTCCTATTAAAGGAAATAGAAATTAAACTTGCACAAATGGGAGTCTCTGGACTTGAGTTTTCTCTGAGTTACATCAATGTAAATGAGAAAAAGCTCCATTCAGGTCAATGGAATTCCACTGGTATTGATACGTGAGATCACAAACAGGTCCTATTTGACAGAGCAACAAGAGAACCAGAGCAGATGTGCATGTGCTATTCATGCTGTGAACATTTGAGTGCTCTGTTCATGGAATGTGGTCCTTAGAGCTAATAGATCAGATATTTCATCATAGGCATTACATGAACAACATTACAATACCAATTTCCTTTATTTATTTCCAATTGGTACTAGTTTAACTGAGAACAGAATTTGGTCCAGTGTTTCTGATTTATATACAACTATGTTATGAAATGCCTTGAAAAGGGTTTCATATTTTAGTTTAGCTATAACTTGTAATATCTTAATATTCTAAATTTTGTGTTTCATGCTGTATTTTGTTGAACTAGATAGATACAAATATTCCAAATTATGTTCCCAAGTGAAGAGATTTTGGTGATCTCAACATCATCCCTATCAAGGATTATTTTCAAAAAATAATAATAAAGTGGTCAGGATAACTCTGGAGGCTGGTATGGGGATATGGGTAGCTTTCACTTCTAGGTCATCCCCAATACACATACAACCCAGATCAGCAGTAACCAGAAGTTGTTACAATGTGATGGCTGTCAGTTGGACTATGCAGAAGGAACTGATGATGTCAGCAGACTGGAGTCCATGTTAAAAAAACAGCACCACAACTGGGACCATTATTGGTAGTCTGAACTTAAATGTCAAGTATTGAATGGACATGGAAACTGGACACTCTTCTTCGAGGCTGGGGAGCACTGGTGGAGCTAGCACTGGAATATCCAGTTCTGTGGGTGAATGGAGGACTGTCTGTCTAGAACTTTCACATGCACTAAATTCATCTAAAAAAGAAAAAAGACAAGACACCAGAGTTAGGGTAGGAATGGCTGTCCTTGCTGAGGAGCTCAGCTACCACTGTGTCTGTAATATCTGGCCATTTTCTCTAGAGCTAAGGCACACTGAATAAAGCTATGTGGGGAAAATCCGACTGCAGCACATAGCCAACTGTGAATGCTGTAAGTCTTCAGCATGCCCTTTGTCAGTTGTCAGAAACACAGATATTCATAAACAAAGGAGGAAGGAGGAGACTAAAATTTCACTTTAGGATAAACACTGTGGACATTGATTCGGAATGTGCTAACAGGGTAGGAACCATTTATGTAAATATATGAAACAATCATACTGTGCCTTTGGAGCAATGATACCTTTATTACCGATTTTTGTTTTTATCTTGATGAAGCCAGTGTCAGTTGAGACTGGCTTTGATGACGGATATAGAATGTATTGTGCATGACACTGGAAGCATGATATCATGGAGACAGATTGCCCAATGGCTTGGAAAATCATCACAGTTCTTTCATATATGGCAGAATTCTTCCCCCAGATGCAAATATAGAAATTTTCTCTATAATAAATTACAGCTTTATTCTATAAGAGCAGTCTCTGAATGCTGTTACTTTGGTAATGTTTCCTGTAAAATAACACAACCATTATGTAGTACTCTGTTCTACACCTAAAATGTCTCTGTTTTCATGCTTGTGGGGCACGTGTGAAACAGTTGTGTATAGTCACTTTAGTCTTGTAATGTTCATGTAATGCCTATGATGAAATGTCTGACCTATCAGCTCTGAGGACCAGATTCCATGAACAGAGCACTCAAATGTTCACAGCATGAATTGCACAAATGCACATCTGCTCTGGCTCTGTTGATTCACGCAGTTTTACAGATGCATCACCAACGTCAAGTTTGTTTTGTGCATCATGTTTGCCACCGTTAATGTTGATCTCATTTGACATTATGCTGATTAGTAATGGGCAATGGTACCCACACAAATGTAATACAAGAGGTTCACCAGTAACAGAGAGTGGTTGCCAAAGGATATTGTGTCAGCAGCCCGGCTGCTTGAACACTAGTCATCATCCTCTTTAGCATGAATGAGGAGTCAGAGTCCCACTGGGATAAGCGTCTTCTCCCTTAGGTCAACAATGTTGTTTGTCTGCTTCTTTTTTCATTGGGCTTTTTCATTTCTTTCTGTCTTTTT